TTTAAAGTTCAAAACTTTTGGTCCAAACTATAAAAAAGTTCTCTCACCTAGAGCTTTCGACCAGTCACTCTGGTCTTCCTCAGTAGACTGACCCAGTGAGGCTTGTCATGTGGCTTCTTTGAAGTGTGACATCAACTAGTTTGAAGATGGTTTTCAGATTTGTTGCAGTTGAAAGTGTCTTCCTTAAAGTTTTTACATGTTAGTTGAAGCAGCACTATTACTATAATGAAAGTACTGTTTAGACATGCGTAATGAGACCAAAAAAAAACAGTCATTCAAGCAACTGGATCATAGATTTTGAAAACCGTTAGACCAAGGACAATGTCTCTGGTTAGACATTTCAAGTAGCATTCACTACTTTTCGCCACAAAATGGAAAATGGTGAAAAGTAGTGGATGCTACTTGAAACGAATAACAGTTTTCAAAATCTATTCAGTTGTTTGAGTAACTGTCTTGTTTTCTTGTTATTATAATCCTTGGACATTAATGACTGCCATTTTCATGTGAAGATTATAGTAATGCAAAAACTTTAAGTTCTAATACCTTAACTAGTCTCTTGCAACTAAATAGATTAACATGTGTTTTACAGCTTTGTTCCAATTCAAGTACAAGTCAGACTCCAAGACTTTGTTTAAGCCTCTAGTGTAACATTTTAACCAGACTATAAAACAACACCCAACATGTGTTTTCCAACTTTGCCTTTGCTGGAAGCAGCCAGCTTATTTCTGACCATAGGCTTTGCTTTAAATTTCAAGGCAGGCTTGAAGGGAAAGGGTTTAAAATTTCAAACCACTGGTCGCAGTTTCTAACAGTAGGGTGGTCTTTAAAGTTTGTGTTGTGTTTCAATGCAAAAGTTCAATCTCCAGATGTTCAAGGTCCATTTTCTCTACTGTTATAGCAACATAACATTCCCTTAAAGGCTTACAACTTATCTTGTTTAAAGGCATCCAAAATTGAATAGAATTTCAGGGTGGCAAACCAAAAATGATATTGACGTTTGCTGTTATTTCTTTCAAATTGGCTTTGAAAGTTCAGTTTTGCTGCCCTGAAATTGCATTGGATGCCTTTAAATTTCTGGAAAATCAATCATAGATTTTCATTTCTTGCACTATGATCTTGAATCTCGAAAGGCATCTCAACTACTCGAGTCATTTCCCAAACTTCCTACTTCTTGAGATTTTCTGTTAGCAGTCAATGCCACGAGGCGGGGTGAAGTTAACCACGCTTCAATTACTCTGTTCCCTGCTGTGTGTCACCTCAACTGTTTTGACACAAGACTCGAACATCTCAAATCCAAACTCCTGTACTCAAAGTCACTGCTTCTGTTCAATCAGCGACTTTTCTGGAAGTTGTCTGAAGAAAATTTGCCCCGTTGTGGCACCGACTTATTAGTACACAGCCTTAAAAAGTTAGAGAATTTCAGCACGTGCTTAAGACATTTCTGAAGTCAAGGGTTCTGGCAATTCTCGCTGCATGACCTTGCAGTTGAACATGAAAGGCCAATTTCCTGTGGCAGACATTCCGCATGCGGCTGCCGGCCGCCACGCAAATTGCTTTGACCAGTCTAGTCCAAGTTTGGCCGCATAAATCTTGATTCTTGTCCTTATTTTCTGCCCAACTAACTTTCAGACTGTCAGAATTCACATGCCTGCATACTGGAATCGACTATTGGCATGGATGCAGTTGAGAATCAAAATATCAAATACTTAAAAGGAAAACTTCATACTCTTTAAATGTATAATTATGTTAAACTTCTCATTGCTGCCTAACTCCATAACCGATTAAACCTTTGTAAAACGTTGTCAAATGCTTAGATTTTACAGTAGTGTGTATAAAAAAAGAGTTTCCCAAATATCATAACTTTGGATTTTATCTTTATCCATGTATTACCTGGTACAATTGCCATGCAATATAGTTCTATGTATTGCTGTTAGAAACTAAAAGATTTTTTAAGAGAAAGAAAAGATTTTTTACTTCTTCCAGCTCTTAAAGTATAGTCAGCACCTTTTACAAATTGGCCCAGAGCTTCCTTCTTGACCTGAGGATTTTTTACGATCGCAGGCAGACCCCCGCTCCCATCTGGACATCTGACAGTCCTGACTGGCGTTTCGGTGATAAAGTCAGCTTTACGCCGTCCTGCTCTGCCTCAGTAAAACAGGTGACGAGATGTCGTGAGCGGAAGGGAAGCATCTGTGCTCTGGCAGCCAAACCTCTCCGACATTCCCCCAGCCCTAATTTGTGAGAGCAGCGGGCGCGGGGGTTTTGGGAGGCCAGACGCTGTGAGAATTTAACATCCTGATTGTACTGATAATGTCTGGTCTTCCGCCGCTACACATGGCAGCTGAAATATGGCATAAAAGTCCAGGCAAATGGACCAGACCACTTCTGTTCATCCCAATGTCCTGACAAATAACAGATAAAACAGACCCCGATTTACCCTACACTGAAGTCTGTCACTGTTAGGCCCACTACAAATTGTAACCGTGAATTAAAAACACTGACGAAACCTGATTTCCCTTCTACTGCGAAATAAAACCACTGCAAAAGTAACTTCGTGAAACAGATTTTCAACCGACCAAAAATATACTTTTAGAAGAACTATTGACACAACAAAAGTGCAGCAACTTTTGTAAGCTATGTCTATACCTAAACATACAGGCAGACATGTGGGTACAAAAGAATTGAGCTACATACAAGACTATGCCTAGAGAGATCCCTAGTGCAGGATATTAAAAACAAAATCTAGCTCCCGTACGCAAACGCAATTAAGAAAACTAGCCCAGTGATACTCAGTTATGATAATCAGCCTTTAGAATGTCCTGGAGCACAAATAACCGGCTCGGAACCGCCGCAAGCCAGGCTTTGAACCGGGCTTTTAAAATTCCAGTGAATTTCACATCCTACCAGCAGACTGATCTCTGTAAATCCCCGGGAATCTCTTAATCTGTTAGATTTCTACAACTCTTTTGCTAACATGTTTGAAGGCTAATGGTGCTTCAATGATTGTACTGTGTTTACAAGACCAGGGGATTTGGGTGTGGCTGCCAAGGTTATAGGAACACGCTGTTAAATGTTGTAGAATGCCGGTTGATCCAAGTTTCGTGTTTAACCATATCATTATAATACCAGGTGTATAACCTGCAATACTTCTGGTTATATTTCGTGGTAGGAGGAAAAGGGAAGTTTTCTGGTATTTTGAATTTGCGGTTGAAACAATTCTGTATGTAATACAATTTGCGGTGTCTTAAATTCTAGGTTATTGTGAAAATAAAACCATCGCAAAAGTTTCTGAATTTACAGTAGCAAGTGAACCTAATGGTCTGAGGCCACACAGACCTTTTCATGGGCACCATAATCCTCATAATCCATTGATCTGATCACTATTTTAGGTAAATGGAAAATGTCCAGTAAAAATCCAAAGCAGGATCTGAGATATTATCTGTTGTCTTCATTGTACATTTCAGCATTTTTCAAAAGAAGAATAAATAGCAAAATATGCCAATAGATATTGGGTCAGAAATACATTTTTTTAAGTTCATAATGCTACAGTCTGACTTTCTTTCTATAGTCTTGAATAGTAACTTGAATTGAGTTTTGAAAGTACAGTAATATTCAGGACAATAGGTTCAGTACAGTTTAACTCAGTCATGACCCCAAAGGTGTTGTAATATTCACCTGTTGAGTACATACAAACCTGAAGAAATAGACCAAAAACAGCCATGTCAGTCTATTGTTCTTAAGTTATATTCCATAACTGCTAGCATAAAAGTAACAAACCTGACTGAAGGTGGGACAAGTTTGGTGCAATATTGTGTAAAAACAAGCTTTACTGAGACCCAAAATATACAAATTCCTAACAAGAGAACAAAAAGAACTCACTACAGAGAAACAAAGATACCCCTACAGTAAACTATCACAGGAATGGCTGACAGTTTATTTAGAGGTCCTGTCACCAGCATTGATGTTATGGGCAGGGTAGATAGTTATAATCACTCTAACAAGCCCTCCCACATAGACTCCACTGTTTGGCATAGTACATGAGATAAAGCTTGTGTCAGCCAAATTCTCCATTTAACCTACAATCGTACCAGACTACAGAACAATTAGAAACCAATTTGTACAGTATTCAATTAACCTTACAAACAGCTAATGATGTCCATGTGCTTTTCTGGAAAATGTAAAATGGTCCTATACACAAGGCAGTCTAAGCAGTCTACAGAACTTTTAAGAAAGGCTTTAAAATTTTGTGGCAGCTTCTATCTTTAACCTACAATCGGACTACAGAACAATTAGAAACCAATTTGTATTGAAATCAATTAGCCTTTTCAATCGCTAATGATGTCCATTCCATTTTCTTGAAACTGTAGAAGGCTCATATACACATGGTAGCACAAGACATGCTATAGAAAGGCCTGAAAAGGCCTAGAAAGATACATGTATTGCAGAAAGAGTAGTGAATACTACTATGAATACTGCACAATGGAATCCTGCCCCCAGTACAGTGTAATGCTATGAGTAAGATAATCTTTGTGAGAGTTTTTAGTTTGCCTTTGGCTAAGAGCCATTGTCTGAGTGGAAAAATCAATTCTTCTCTTACTTCAGTCTTAGTCCTACTAAAGTCTTAGTCCTACTTAATCCTCGACCTGTTTTAAAACAGATTAATCGCTGTGGTTTTTCAGGAATGATTTAAGACTTACCCGGAGTCAAGAAGATCACACAAATCTCAACTACCACATGTCACAGTATCAACTACCACTATTGTAAGGCAAAAACATACAAAAAGCCTTGTCTATGTACTGTTTTTCCCACCTACAACAGACACAAGACTTTGTATACACTCAGTATGTCAAACAAAATGGCAACAACAACAAAGTCGAAACATGGGAGTTTACCTTATTTCAGTATAGGCACGGCGACCACATGTTATTCCACAGCATACCTTAAATCATTCTCTGTGTCACTTTACAATGGAGAACCACAGGAAAACAAATATGGCTCACCTTGGTTTGGGCAGTGGGATACCCTCAGGCCAGTGCGGACGGACTGCTCTGGAGTCGAAACACACTGACACAAAGTCTTCCCACAGGAGCGTACCAACTCAGGAGTCTGCAGAGGGGTCAACAACGAAGAGATGCTTAGCACAAAAATCTTCTAAGTTCTAACAGTGTAAATTTTCCCTCAGAAGTTTTAATGTTTGTACAACGATCCTTGAAAAGATTCTGCATCTTCTACGGACTGTTTTTGATCGAGTGTGAGCAATGGAAAAATTGAGATAACCTTTGTGGCACCCCTTCGCACGAGGTCCACCGACTGGTTGGTCAACTCTGGTGGCTCACAATGGGTGCATGCCTTTGCTCTCCACTTCACGCATGAAATCCCCGCCCCTTTCCACTTGTATACCCAAAATGCAAAGACCAGGACTGTCCAATAGGACAGTGTGGGGAGGGGTTACTAGAGGGTTTGTCCGGGGTTTCTGCCAATCATGAGGAAAGGCCGGGGCTGTCCAGTAATTCCTGTAAAATTTCTCAATGTGTATTGACCTCAAGAAACAATAGAAAAAGAGGGGAAGAAACTTATTCTTTTGCCAAAATGAAAAAAAAATTATGATTTTCAGAAATCTCTGAAACCCCACAAAAAAACTTTTGCCAAAATGAAAAAAAAATTATGATTTTCAGAAATCTCTGAAACCCCACAAAAAAACTGCTCCACTCTACATAGCATGACTTTTTTGTGAAGCTTTCACAGTGGTTTTATTTTGAAGTAGGAAGGAAAATGTAGGTTTTCACAGTTTTAAAAATCACTGTTCAAAACAATTCTATAGTACAGTAGTCATACAAGGAAGACATATCAGTAGTGTCATGGATTATTGGTCACCAGGAAAATAAAACCACCTTGCACGTTTCACAATTTACAGTAAGCAGGAGAGGACTATAGCAAAAAGACCACAGAAAGTGCCTCTGGCTGTATGCATGTGAAGGTGTAGAAATGATAATGATGCATTGTTCCAGCGTGGTAAGCCAACCCCTCCAATTACCAGCCTGGAAATGGCAAGTCACCAAACAATAGCCAGACACGAGTTCCCATTGTCTTACAGACAACCCTAATTAAACCGGCCAAGTCTGCCTTTCACGGAGAAGATCCTGTATTTTCATATTCAAATCCTAAGCCCTTCCCTCACAATCATGGCCCAGCTAGCCCCAGAGCCAAGAGAAAAGTCTTACAGGTCACAGAGCAAATACTCCTCAAATCTATCCGATTCTTGCTGAGTTTGGAATCCCTCGGAGGACTCAGAGTTTCTGAAGTGGAAGGGAAGGTTTTTCAGATTTTAATCAGGAGCTGTAACCGTCCTATTAAGGTTTCCATAGAGAACAAAGGGAAGAGTTGAGATACAAAAGTGCACGAGGAAATTTTCACTGAACTGAGCTAAAGCCAATTAGACTTACCTCTAAGTAGATGCCTAAAGCAACTTTGTAGACAGAGAACGCCGTTTGGTGGATGGAAAATTTTTTCCATTCAAATTTAAATGTACAAAACTGCTTATTTCTACCTCCAGGCTATAGAAGCTACTTTTCACAGAGATTTTATAGAGCATGGAAAGAACACACAAATGAAGTAAAACCTTCAAGTTTTAAAAGACAGTGAGTATCACATAGTTAAATGTGTTGAAAGGTAAAAAGAAGGGTCTTCTTTTTAGAATACACCCTTGCCCTTCTTTAGTTCTGACAAGAAACTGTTAAAACCCTTCATACACTGATACAGTTATCAGACAATACACACAAGACAACAGGCAATACACACCCAAGGTATACCTTGGGAAGGTAACATTTCCTAATGGGTAGGATTAAAAAGTTATGGGTCATTGCTTAGTACACTTATTGCACTGAGAATTACAGAAAATCTCTTTGAAGTACTACCAGGAAAAATGTATATTCATCTGAACTGTCTGAAAGACAAATTCTCAACATTTCTTTCTTTTTTATTTATTTGCCAAACTCTCGTTTGCTGAGTTCTATGCATATTTATGACTTAGAACAAAGAGACCGGGACATGCCGTAGTGATTTGTTATACCCTTTGTGGAACACGTCACAAATGTGGTGGGAAAGTCAAACCCAAACCACTTGAAGATAATTTGAGTCCTTTAAAACGAATAATTTTCCCGACAAAACAAAAATTGATTCTGCAGAGGGGAGGCCTCAATTTTCTATTCAAACTGTATAAATAGGTGGCTCAATGAAAAGAACATGGAGACACAAAAGGTAACTGTTTGTCACAACTGGACAAAAACTCCCAACAAACTGAATAAACAGGGAAAAAGTCCCTTTCAGCGCGCCGAAGTCTTTTAGCGACATGCATGATGAGTCATAGCGCCCCTGCGTATCATCCCGTTCCGCACCGCGCCGAGAAACACCTACAGAAGTGACCAGTCCAAACACCGGACAAAGAACCCAACCCGACCGGAACACGTAGGCTTGTCACCTCTACTCAGAAGGGACGGGTTGTTTTCACATTCTTGGGAAAAAAAATCAGGACAGAGGATGTTTTCCCCTCGACCCTCGGCAAACACGACAACAAAGGCGTCCTTTATCTAACGTTACCTCTCGGCTGTTACTGTCTACCACGGGACGTCACCAAAACACAACAAAATTTACCAACTAGAATCCTGTATGGGTAAATACAGAGTTGCCTTCAAGGCTTTTGCCAAATATTGACTGAAAGTGGGTATGCCAAAGAAGTGATTAGATTTTGGACTCCTAGCTGCTTTCCTTTTGGAACTCCTAGCTGCTTTCCTTTTGGAACTCCTAGCTGCTTTCCTTGGTACTGCATACTGCAGTAGAATTGCCAGCTTTATTTTCTGTGTGGTCTGCCTTTCTGCATACGGAAGGTTGTCAACGAAAGAGAACAAGGACCAAATTGTTGCCTCGTAAAAAAAAGTTGCCAATGGAAGTGATTAAGAAATGGGTACTTCAGGAGATGGGGTACATTGTCTTGCAAAACTCAAGTACACAATCCATTACAACATATTCTTGTGCAAAACTTAAAGGAAACCCCAAACAAACAGTGTAAACACTTCAAACACATGGATGCAAATGATTTCATTCAGAACTCATCAACTAGAGAAGTCCTTCAAGGAATGGGATAAATTCTCATGTAAATATCGAAAAGACCGAAAGAAACACCTCCAATTTGTTTATCAGTACACTGGCCATAAGTTTATTATATGCCACTTTTTTATAGAATGCTGGTAAAATCCCTTGAAGAAAATGATGTGTGATTTTAGGTTCTATTGTGTTACAAAATTGTGAACTTCAAATGCCTTAAAAGCCTCATTTTCCCTCCTACTGCAAAATGAAAAGACAGCAAGATTCAATGTAAATGCATTTACAGTAGCCAAATATGCCTATTGGCAAAACCACCCCCCTCCCCCGTCATTCACAGTCCCTAGTCCTTGTGAAGTGATGTTTACTGATTGCCCTGTATAATACTGATCATACATTTTCATCGCCCTACTGATCATGTGCAAACATAACACAAAGGCTGGAATCACTGGTAAGTGAGGAAACCATCACTTTCCTCTTTGCATATCGTCACCTGACTGCCACTGGGCATTATTGTGCAAAGTCAACAGCAAACACCACATAATCCTGCCAACAGGGTGTGAATGTGTCGGCTTAGCTGGTGGTACATCAAGTACCCTCTTGCTAACAACTCTCTCTGTACAGTCTCCATAGCATGCCAAAAACTGGTGTTTTGGGGGGGTATTCAGGGTCTTTGGGAGCTTTTATGTGCTATTTTCTGATTGCATATAAGATATAGACAACATAGCTGGCCTGGTTGAATTACCCCTGTTTAGAACTGGGCTAATCAGAAAACAGTCGAAGACCACCAAACCCCCAGTTCTGTAAGCCTGCTACAGAGGCTACTCTCTGTAGAGCAATAGAAGATTTTTTTTAACTCAGTTATAGCCTCTGCCAGACTTCAGAAGTGGCTGAAAAGAGTAGAAACTGGCCAAATAGACGGATGATATGCCAGAGGAGTTGGTCTCATGCTAAGAGAACAGTTTGCCACTTCTGGGAGCCTTGTAAAGGCTACTTTAGCTATGGGACATACTGGACATAGACTTTGTCTAGAGTGTTACTAACTGGACAGTATTCCCTCGATTCCAACTGTGTAAGACAAACAGCGATTTCTACATTTTGGGCTACCTCTACTGGTTAAATCAGTGTAAAATTCATTATTCCAACAGAAATTTCTTCTATCCTTACATTGGAAGACTTGCAAGAAGATGTTTTGTGGCAATTTTCATTCTATGATAAAAAGAGCCATCCTTCATTTCAGTATTCTTCATATCTTTTACTGAATGCCTTACAACAAAAACTGCTGCAACTACCGTCAGTATAGTGCTCAACCTCATATGATATGGCCAAAATGTAACAAGTTACTTTAGTTGTACATTGCAACCTTCTCTGAAACCTATACTATACTTCTTTTTTTCTGTCTGAATACATCCTTTCAACTTCAACTAATGTTCCTCTTCCCTAGTATTTGCCATTTCCAAACAGAACACCAAAGAAACTGGAGTGGAATTCTTCTCGGTAATCCGGAGTCAGGCACGGAAGATGAACTTTGAGTTTGGACTATTGGCACAGCTGTGTCTTACCACTAAAAAAAACCCCAGCCAGTGCAAAGTGAGACTTCAACCTTTTACACTCCGTCCTGCTCTCTTCAGAAGGGCTAAGGCATGTTTTGACTGAAATGGTGGCTGACAGTCCTAGTGGCGCTGCCTCTAACATTCCACCAGGTCTAAAACTCACTAAAGCAGAAACAGTTCCTTAAACATGTTCCTAGTGCAGCTACAAGTTATCTTATCTTTGGATGAAAGTGCCATATAGTCTGGACAGATATTTATGCAAACTTGATCTGGCACCCAAGTACATGTATATAGCCAGCCTTTTCCCAAACTGACCAAATCTCATTAAATACCACAATTACTACAAATGCTATTATATTCCTTAGCTTTTTGAATGTTCAGACTCGTTTGCTTTAACCATGACGTAACAGGAAGAATGAAGAAAGATATACTTTACTTCAGCATAGCTTGGCAAAC